CCAGGGGTCAGGCAAGCGGGTGAGAAGGACGGGCTGATGGCATCTCCGCACATCAACGGAGCTCACTGACGCGGCTGGGCCTGGAGCAAGGCAAGACCAAGAAAGGCCAGTGGTCAAGACAGTGGACACATGGCCAATGCCATCCCTCTGGACCTGGCGCACAGTAGGTATTCAGGGACTGGTAGTGGAATCCAGGCACATCCCCTGAGTCTAACATAAGGCTTTGGACCCTGGAGAACCCCAGCTCTGCCCCATGCATGCTGTGTGACCTCTGAGGAATAGAACAACATCTCTGATTGTTGGTCTCCTAACATGTCCAATTTGTTCATTCATCCATTCAACAGTTATGTGTCGACCACCTACTAAGTATTAAGCTGTGTGCTAGGCACCAAGGATTCATCCCTAAACAACAACGAAATCCCTACCGTCAGAGCGGTCACTGGTGGAAAGAAAGTGAGTAAAATGAATCACTACATAGTTCAGTGAGGTAGCGTTTTTCTCACACGCACAAGGCTGCGTTCAATCCTCAGCGCTGCAAATAAACGAATAAACAAAAGGAGAGCCAAATATCTTTAGAAAGTTATGTTAGTCATACATAGAAGAAGAAAGAAGAAAGAAGAAAGCAGGAGAAGGAAATCGGGGGTACACGGGGGTCTCGATAAAAAGAACAACCACAGAATCGAAGTCCTGACGAGCGTAACTTCACAAACAAAAATAACTGGGAATCGGGGAGAGCCTGGGGAGGGGCTATGGGGAAGGAAAGACGGTGGATCCGGACGGACATCATCTCCCTAGGCACGGGGGTGACCGCCCGGGTGGCGCGTGTCTACCCCGTGTCCACCCCGTGTCCAGCCAGAGCATCGAAATGCCGCGCTCCACTCGGGTGCGATGCATTGAAGTGCCTTCTGCTGTCTCGGGCAACTAAGTAGAAAGAATGAAAAATCTTTAAAAACCTGGAGACCAGTGACAGTGGTAGCTGGGAACCCCCCACTGTGTGCAGATTGAATGACACCCACGGGTCCCAGAGAGTTCAGAAGTGGAATTGAAGAGACACTGAACTGAACGAAAGTGAAAACGTCCCAAAATCCGCGGACGGCCAGGCTGGGTGGTGGCTCGGGGGGGTCCTGGGTGCGTTGGTGCAGATACCTCGCAGCTCGAGCGGCACCAGCAGGAGAGGGATGCCGTGGCTGTGGTCTGAAGGTGCGCGTCCCTCCATGTGTCCCTTGCTGGGAACGCCATCCTCTTTGTGGCGATACGAAGAG